GGCTCCGATTCGAGGAAGTCGATCGGAGGAGTAGCCCATAACTAAATTAGATAGTCAGCAACAAGCATTGAGCTGGATTGAAGGTTGTTGGTTATGCATACCGCCTGTCCATACTTGATCGGTTACTGCGCCGCTGTCTTCCCAGCCCCTGAAATGACGCTGCATATAACCGTCGAAGTAGTTTTCCGCTCGTTTTATGAGCGAGCTGTCGTCAACATTACCGTACCAGTCATCAAGGTGTTGCAGGTACGCCCTCCGTGCCCCTCCCACGACAATGCTGCCATCTGCTCTCGGGATTAAGTAGTCGAAGTCCCATTCATTGAATCGAATGGTATAGGTGTTTGGAAGTATAGGCGGAGGATTAGGTGTCACAATATGACTGCAGATGGCCCGGTAGGGGATAATCTTGTCCTGATATTCCGGTAGCAAGGCAGCTGTGTAGGCATTTGTTGCCATAATGACTTGCTTGGCACGAACATTGCCTCTTGCCGTTCTGATTTCCCAATATCCTTGGCTGTCTCGTGTGTCTGACACAGAGATGACAGGAGTGTTAGTTTGTAGGTTAATACCGGATTTGATAGCTTGTGAGAACATGTGATGTATCATTTTGTATGGCCAAACATGGCCTGCCGTGTAGCTGAAAGCGCCCTTGGCTCCTTTGATGCCAGAAATCTGGATGTGAACCACGAGATTAGCCATACTTATCGAGGTAGTCAACAATAATTTGAGTTGACACTGGGAAAGCACTAGGATAATCATACCATCTCTGCATCCGGCCCGTCCATATAGAAGACATCTTGAGTTGCTGCGACACCTTCATCTTGGAGACTTTTATACCCAGCTCGAAGGGCCGCATTGTGTGACTCTGATAACTGAACATCAACAGCTCGGGTGGTAAAGTATTCGCATTCTACCCCCGAGTCCCTAATGTATGTTTCCACAGCCTTTGCATTGGCTACTTCGAACTCTGCTACCTCTGCGGCCATCGTGAGATTAAATTTCGAAGCAAGGAAAGATGTCATATTGTACGCATCGGGCTTCATGTGCCCACCTATAGCAGGATCAGTGAAACTACTCAACATGAGCTGAAATGGGGATTGTACCGTTCCTCCCAGTTGCGCCGGAACATAGCTCCCGGGCCTCGAGGACAAGGATGCTTTTCCCTCGGCCTTCCTCTGTGGAAAGAAGATGAGTTACTAGAGATCCCCCCGAGAATCCGGCTCCAATGATGGCGATGTCCGTTGTTTGGGGGATGTTTTCTGAGGAACGGAAGGTGTCGAGCTCTCCTGGGGATGTCCGCCAGAACGACGGCATCCCCTGTGGGTGTGGATACGGCTTTCTGAACGCCATATCGGATTCTTCGAACGTGAAAAGTGAGAGTTCTGTACGAATGCTCGTTTTACACCCAACCTGCAATCTTTAGTACAAACGAGTCATTAGTTTATCAACCCATTACCTGTACCGTAAATTGATATCATGGCATCCGCTGTCGGAGCAGGTGTGCCACCGGTCGGATAACCTTCCTGCTGTGTCTGGCCATCTGGGACATAAGTGGGCTATGCCTTTGATAGGCAGGTAACCAAATGCGAGTTCAGCACCTGTTGTGGTCAAGAAAACGAAGACTGGGTCAGGGTTCCACCAATATCCTGGTCTCTAAGGGGCCGCTTTACCATAGAAGGCATGGTAAGAGAGGTGTTGCAATGCTAGAGCAAAAGGGGGAATTAGTGGCTGTTGCCAAGCAAGCTCCTCGTTTTGGTTTCTTCTTTCGTCGCGCCGCGTGGAGACGAGCTGGCTCCGGCCATGCAGTAATCACGTTAGTCCACGCCGTGGTTCGAATTCTCATTGGGGGGACCGGGCATTTGCGTGTTGCCTCAAGACCACACAGATCAGTTCTTGTTAGCTAATCCGAGGAAATTGGAGTTTCTCTTCTCAGAATTCTCATCTTGTCTACCCCAAGATTCCATAGATTTGGTCAGTTTCGATGTGTCATATTCTGGGGCCAGCTAGATGACTGACAGCAAATGGTAATTTGATATTTAACCCCGCAGAAACAAGGTGCATTGTGGTCGAATTGTCGAGATCCATCATCGTGGGGTTAAATGGCCTAGTAATGCCACTTTCTTGGAAACACTAAAAGATGGTTATCTGATGGTGTGGGGAGCTTAGAGATATACCGTCTCCAACAGAGTCTTACCCCGGCAACCCTCTGCCTACATATGTAACTGGTAGCCCCAACCAGAGTGCGAAAAAAAGTATCAGCTTCCAACAACCATATTCTTTCTTCTCCCTATATTGAAAGTCAATTCACTTTTTCCCACCATGGCCACTCGATCCCCGTCTCCTCCGAGGGAGTCGAAAGAGGATGACCCCAAGGTCTCAGCCGACTTCGGCGCCCAAGAGACCATGGTCCAACACCAAACCCAGCGAGGTCTTTCTCCCCGCCATGTTCAACTTATGACCATAGCAGGCGGCATTGGTGTGGGTCTCTTTGTGGGTGTTGGCTCAGTGCTACGGGATGCTGGTCCGTTGCCTCTAATTCTCGGCTATTTCATATATGGAGTTTTCTTTATATGGCCAACCTGCTTGAACGTAGCAGAAATGGTCGCCTGGCTTCCAGTCCGTGGATCCATTTACGAGCTTGCGAATAGATACGTTGATCCGGCTCTTGGCTTTGCCATGGGCTGGACGTACTTTTTTGCCGGCACAATGCTTGTTTGCACGGAGTACTCAGCCGTCGCGGCAGTGATGGAGTATTGGATCACCACTGTTAACCCAGCTGTGTGGGTGGCAATGTCAATGGTCGTGTGTTATTTTCTGAATATGGTTGCAGTCAAGTATGTCAGATCTTGAAGTTCATCGAGCGAATTGTATTAACCCTGACAAATCTAGATGGTATGGCGAAACCGAATTTATAATGGCATCTACCAAAGTCCTTCTTCTCATTGGTTTAGTGTTCGCGACAATCATCACCATGGCTGGTGGTAACCCGCACCATGATGCATATGGGTTCCGAAACTGGTCAAACGGGAACTTCATTCACGAGTACTATACAGATGGCGCTACAGGAGTGTTCCTTAGCATATGCGTGTCCCTCCGATATGCAGTGTTCACAATGCCAGGACCTGATATGATTGCCCTCGCAGCAGGGGAAATCCGGAACCCTCGCAAAACTATCCCAAGTGTTGCCAAGATGGTTCTAGCACGTGTTATGGGAATATACGTTATCGGTGTTCTCGCTGTGGGCATTATCTGTTCTTCTCGAGATGAAAGGCTTCTGGGAGCTATTAAATCAAAGCAATCTGGCGCCGCAGCGTCCCCTTGGGTACTAGGCCTGCTCAATGTCGGAATCGAAGGGTTCTTGCCTGGCCTGATCAACTTTCTGATTCTTCTCTCTGGCCTTTCGTGCGGTAATGCATTCCTCTATAGCTCAAGTCGAACACTATACTCTCTAGCCCAAGGAGGACAAGCGCCTAAGATCCTGCTCAGGTGTACGAAGGCCGGTGTTCCCTGGGTAGCAGTCAGCGTCATCACCGCCATCTCCTGCCTGTCATTCCTTGTGGCATCTAATGGATCCAACGTTGTCTTTCTATGGTTCGTGGGTCTGACAACGGTGTCCCTGTGCGTCAACTTTACAGCCAAAGCTTGGGTTTTCATTGGTTGGCGTCGGGCTCTCAAGGTGCAAGGATACGCTTTGGTTGGGAAGAACAATATCAACCAGGCACCTTGGCTTTCCAAACTGCTTCATTCGAAGCCTCCGGCCAGCGAAATAACGGAGAGCACCGTTATATTCCCATACATTGCTCCCTGCGGTAGCTGGACACCTTATATGAATCTCATGCTGGGAGGGACCGTCTGCATTTTCATCGGATTTGACGTCTTTTCCCCTTTCTCCTATCGCGGCTTCATCACTAATTACTTTGGCCTCTTTTGGTTTTGCATCATGTTCATTTTCTGGAAGATTTACAAGAAAACCAAGTTTGTCGATGTGTCGAAGGTGGATATTTACGCAGAGGGACGCAAACAGGCCATTGATGAAGAGTGCCGTCATTGGGAAGATGGTACTATCGACGTGCTACAGCACGAACAGCTTTCGCAGTACAACATGTTTGTTAGGGGATGGAAGCGATTCTGGGGGATTAATCGGCTGCTCGTACGAGTTTAGTTCTTAGCTGAGGTACTACACAGCAGACAATGGGCCTAGCAGCAACAGTTCTTGTCTTGAGCGAGTCGTAGAGCTCCACCGATGTCGGGGACTAATTGGCAGTAGTATTTGACCAGGGGCTCAAAGAATAATCATAAGCGGTTTTTGTTATCTTTCCCTTTTGTGGGGCTTGATCTTTTCCCGGTTACTTTGCCTTCTCTCTCCTCCGCATTTCCCCAACCACCCGTGTCTTCCTTAATCTTAGACCATCAGGCGGCATTTTGACATGTTTTGAGTGAGGCTTTTACTCGCTGAGCACTCGGCCCATAGAAACTCGAGAATGAGAACCAAGGCTCCCCACCGCAAGTCTCGAAATGGCTGCCTTCGATGCAAGGCTAGAAGGGTGAGTAGAAACCGCTCCATCCCGGCAACGACACCACGAATGTGCCAGACAACATCGCTTACTGTTTTTTTGTAGGTCAAATGTGATCAGAGAGCTCCGGCTTGCTCTCGTTGTGTAGACCGTGGTCTGCAATGCCCGGGCTACTCGCTCAACATTCGTTGGGATCCAAGAAACCAACTTCAGAGACAGTCATCCAGTCCTGCAGATAGAACCCGGGCCGGTTCCACTCAGACCATCGACCCGTTCGGCGACATTGATTCCTCCCAGCTGAGTGGGGATCCCCAAGGTGATGTCCTCCCTGCCATCGATCCTTGGATTCCGGAACCAGCTCCAATTTCAGACTGGTCCTTTTCCTTGGGAGAGCTACTCCCATCAACCATAGCCCAGGTTGGGTTTGCACCATTGGTGCCGTTTGTCCCTTCTTACTTCCCTCCCGTAGGTATGGAAGAGCCAAACATGTCTACCAATGAGTCGATGCTATTCCCACCGAACTTGATAAATCCTCTCCTGGACTTCCCACGACACCAACAAATGGGCCTGCTTCCCGGTTACCCGGGAACTAACCATTTTGTTGAAACCCCAAATCGGGTTACGGAAGCATGGGAAAGGCGGAATCTCAATTATCTTCAGCCAGGCTCGGATACGCAGCACCCCGACCCCCAAAAGTTGGGAGCTATCACAACAATTTCGCATTTACCGGAAATCACTCATCTTCCCACTGTTTTATCGGATTACTTCTTCAAAGAAGTCATTAAACTTTACTCAGTTTGGGACAACCATTCAAACCAACTAAGAATTCTTGCAGGATCCTTCTGGCAATCATCAGGGGTTCTCTACCATACCATGCAGAGCATGGCAGCTGCATTATTGACAAAGAGTTTCCCAAACCTCCGCGCTATTGCTATTGGCGAGCGTCAAATGGGCCTCGAATGTCTCCGGAGTGGCAACGACACAGACGAAGACAGGCTAATAGGGTCCATCCTGCTTGGCCACACCGCAAGCTGGATCAAACCACACGAATTATCACACGAGAATTTTGAAAATTCCCTCGAGATGCTGCATGCGTGGGCTTCCAAGACGCACGACCATTCCCGTCTATCGTTTTTCGGAGGGGCGGTTGACTACTGGGCGATGCTTCTGTCCTTCGTATCCGAACCCAGAACGAACCATGACTTCCTTCGACACTCTGTTGTGGAGGCTGGCCCTTCCAGAGCAGACGGATTGATAAACCCACACCCTTTCATTGGCACGTCGGGGACCATTGTACAAGTTCTAACAGAGCTGGGCACGCTCATCTTCAGGTATCGGAAGCGAGTCTCAGAGATTGACTTCATTTCCGAGAAAGATCTTGAATTCTTTCGCAAATCAATACAGAATGCTCGTCAACTGGAACGTCGGTTGCTGGCCTTCAGACCATTGCTACCCAAAAGCGTTCAGGATCCTGGGGACCAAACAACCTCACCTGCTCACTTTGTGAAGATTGACGAAGGCCTTCGCTGCACAGGCCTGCTGCAACTCTATCGGGTGTTTCCAGACCTTCTTAATGATAGATATCAGCCTTGGGACTCAGCTGCCCTGCTACAGCCTCACCCCGCTCTTAAGACTCCGTCTCGGGAGGAGCGGAATACCTGGCTTACGATGCTAGCGCTCCATATCCTCAACATCAACCGGGAGATCCCCTTCGAGTCCCGGACAAGGTGCATGCAGCCCTTTATGTTTGTGGCCGCGTCGTGTGAACTTCGCACAGATCTTGATGGAGGAAATGAGGCCGGCGGCATGGATGGCAACTGCATCTCGATCCAAATATCCCAGGCCCGCGAGTTTGTGCGTTCTAGAATGATGGCATACCTTCACGTCTTTCCCCTCCAAAAAGTGGAAACAATGTTCCAGTTGATCCAAAGCATTTGGTCGGAAATTGATAATGGAAGGGAGGTTTTCTGGCTGGATGTGTGTAAAAAGCTCAAGTTAGGCACACTGATGGGATGAAGAATTAATCACCCGATCAATCACCATACAGTGCTTGGACAATACAACAATCAGATTTATTCTATCATAATGGAGCCCACTTCATGGCACATCCTTTTATCTGAATCCTCCTTCCCTGCCTCAATCATACCCGACTTCCCCTCGACAAATTCTTGCTTAATGAGTATCACCTACCAGTAGTTTAAGTGCTTTCGGCCACGGCGATCTGTGTACCTAGCATCACTCTCTGTATTTTCATCATGGGTATCGGAATGCTGATTCGCCCATCGCCGGTTCGCAAACTTCAGAGCTGTGGTTTGAAGTGAAACAGCGACAAGCCAAATAACAGCGAGAGAGATACAAGCAGCCCAGGCCCGTCTGTACAGCGGAGCGTCATCCTGATGCTAGTTAGTCATAGGAAAGACAAGTTAGACACATAGGTCGGGGTACATACACCTCTAAAGAACTGATTACCATACGTGCCTCCAAGGTTCGAGCAAGCGACTATAGAGTTTCATCATTAGTAATAACTCTAGGACCGAGCATCTACATCCAGAGAAACCCACTGTAGATAGCATATGAGATGGCGCGTTTCTGTGGCGTCTTGGCGTTGAGTGCCAACCAAGTAACATTAATTGACTGCCAGCCACTAATGAAGATTGATCGTCAGTATGATATGAGGCATTCAAAAGTAAGTAGAAGACAGGAGTGACTTACGGGGCAGCTGTGGCAACAAAGTAGGCGGCATAAAAGGACCATGATGTTTTCGAGGTAACCGGCAGATTCTGTTGCTGTGTTTAGCCTTCATAAACCACTGATTAAAATCTAGAGTTATCCCATACGTAGAGCGCGACGACCGCGGCTAAAGTCCAGATGGAAACAAAAATGATGGTGTAACCAAATCGCTTATATCGATCAACGCCGAACGAGAGCAGAATACCTAGAATGGAAGATATAATGGGAGGTGGTGCGTTCAGGAGATTCGCTTTGATATTGGTGAATCCTAAAGATTGTATAATCACAGCCCCCCAAGTAGACAAACCGTTGGTTGATTGTAAGCCACTAAGGCATACCACAAGATGTGGCCAGAGCCTCCAATCAGTGAAAACATCCCGGCTGTTCAGGAAATTAGGTTAGTTACCGCAGATGAAAAGTGAAATGTTCAGGTGTTACTGACATGTCCGCAAGTTTGATATGGAGTGTAGCATCTTGATTCTTTTCGCTAGCCTTGGCAAGCCGAGCTGTAAACACATCGGCTTCGCGGTCTGAAAGCCAGCCGTGACTAGGAATGAGCCCAGCAAGTAGACGGTTAGTATGATACGGGGATTTGGGGATGGTGATAAGACCAAGCACCCCAGTGGCTAAGAAATGTCGGTCAGATTTGTCACAAATTAGAATAATGACACAACTTACCAATGGTTGAGACACCACAAATAATGAATATCCTTTGTGAAACTGTCAGATACATCAACTGTTGATATATTTTCGGAGATTAGAGTACTGGCCTACCAGTGCCAGCCCGGGCGATCATTGACTCCGTGAAGACGTAGGGCACCTGCCGATATGAGCGAACCGAACGCTGCTGCAATAGAGGCTCCAAAAAAGAATATGGCCGTTCGAGACGCAAGTTCGTCTTTGGTGTACCACCTTGACAACGTATAGAGCGCTCCAGGAATGAAGCCACTCTCGGCCAATCCAAGGAACAGTCGAGCTGCATACCAGCCGCCGGCATTCGTGACAAACATTTGAAGAACTTCAAGAATCCCCCAGAGGATGACCTGGAAAGGAATCCAGTAGTGGGCACCGATCCGATGAAGGACGACCTGGAGTAAATAGACATGTTAAAACAATTGCTCCGTTTGTGGGTAAACTTGTGAGATTGTGCTTACGTTTGAAGGGATCTCAAGAAGGACGATTCCTAGCCATAGCAAGGAGACACCAGTGTTGGCCTGATCCCGTGATATATTGGTATCCTTGAGAAAGGTGGAAGAAAGGACACCAGACACATTGGTTCGGTCAATAGCCATCCATGTGAACATAACCTAGAAATACGGATCAGTGTTTTTGGTCCAAGTTTTCTTAATTATGACCTGGGGGGAGATATTACCGTGAAAATGGGAAGAAACAGAAGATCAGCTTTGCGAACAACACGCCGTTCCTCATCCAAGGTCCACGAAATGAGGTGTTCCTGGCCATTTTTTAAAATTACCTGTTCTCTAAGCCTATCATAGCCTTCCGGATCGGACGGCGGGCCAGAACCGGCTGGCTTCACTTCTGTGGACAGAACTGTCTCTTTTAAAGTGTCATCGTGAACTTCGGTTCTGGGGGTTGCATATTGCTCGCCACCTCCAAGAGCATCGGGCCCAGTCGCTTTGGCACCCATATTTCGTGATGGAGAGGAGTCTATCAATAACTTGGATGTCGTTGAATATCTTTTAATGTCAGATTATCATGGGAACAGCCCTCCTTGCAAGCGTGAATGGAACAAAAATCAATGGTATCACGAGCCTTTAATCTACTCCGTACGACCTGAGATCTCGGAAATTCGGAAGTAGGCCATAAAAAGACCTCCTAACATAATAGCTATCTCCCCATCCAGTGTTCGTCAAAGTCGTGATCGACTGGGGGTATGCTGTCATGGACTAGTCCACCTGCCCCCTCAGCTCATTGCCCGTCTAATTACCACCGTTTATCTTGATTAACCGAGCATCACGTTTAAACTCCCAAGTGGGATAAAGAATTATCTGCTCTTGCTTGGTCATCATGCTTTTAAAACGTGCGAATGTCCATCGATGGCATCACCAGCACAACCCCACAGCGCGTATAAACACCCAATCACATAAATCGGCGCAAAGGTTGGAGGGCGAATCTCGTCATATGGCTCCGATTTATGAAACCTATCTGGACCTCAGGGATTTTCGAACGTCACTGCTCCTCATAGTAACCTCGCAAGATCTTGACAGCATGCCTCACAACAACACGCCTACTCGACGACCCCCAGTATACTATATCGGACATGCTGGCGTACCACTCCTCTTTGGGGATGATGAAACTATCATAATTGCTCGGCAAAATCTACGGGCAATTGGAGACGAGATCCTAGAATTGGAGCCACGGCCAAAGGCTATCATCGTGTTCAGTGGACATTTCGAAGCCGGAGAGATACACGGTGCTAATACAATTGAAGGTCAATCATCATTATCCCGCTCAACCACTTGACTTGTGGGAAGATCTATTTTCGATGGACTAATGTTTTATGCAATGCAGTCAACGTGAAAGATACAACTCATATCCAAGTACGCTCCACAAACAGGCACGGCAGCTGAGCATATCTAATTAATAGTTTACAGCATGACTTTGTCGGTGATTTTCACGATACGCATCCATACGTGTACAAATACGAATGGGATCACCAGGATGCGCCCAAGCTGGGTAACGAGATTTGGCGCCATCTAAAAGACAACGGTCTCAAGGCGAAAAGAGTAGAAAGGGGAGTTGATCATGGCGTCTGGGTGCCTTTCAAAGTTATGTTCCCACCAGAGCGGCCACTGGACATTCCAATCATCCAAGTCTCGACTTTTCACGGTTACGACCTGGAATCTCAAATAAATTTAGGGGAAGTTTTTGAAAGCCTTCGGTAAGTATTCAAATGGGTGTCCTTGACATGACCTTCCGTTGACAAATATGTAGAGAAGAAGGATACCTTATCCTTGGATCAGGCATGGCTGTGCATTCGTTTCCTTCGATTGAAGAGATCAAAAATGCGCCTACCGAGAATGAAAGAATCTTAGCGAAGAAAAAGGTCCTACAGGAGACAAGGAACTTTGACAATTTTGTCCGGGAGGCGGTTGCTGAGAACGACCCGGTGGCCCGTAAGAATGCGTTGCTTGCTCTCGAGTCCCGCTATGAATTCAAGCGAAGCCATCCCACAGTTGAGGTACGTCATAACCACAATATCAATTAGTTACCGGGCACCGAATTTGACAAAATCTCTCCTCAGCATTTCACTCCGTTGCTTGTGGCGGCAGGGGCGGCAGGAGAAGCAAGGGTTGAACCTCTAGGCATCGATATCATTTCTCCGGGCATGTCATTTTTGAATGTTCGGTTTTCGTAGATAGCTGGAATTGAGATGAAGAGATACATAAAAAGTAGTAAGGGCTATTAAAGAATGCCATGGCGGCTCTTTTACATCTTTCATAAATCGAAAGATTTATAGCTGCAGTTTAAAGAGACTTTATTACAGCCTTCTCAAGCTGCGTCTTCCTCCTGCATCAAGCTCAGCGACTTAGATCTCGCTAACTCGAAAGCCTCTCAATCTTTCTGATAGTTGCAAACCTGATTTCACATCTTTGCTATCAGTGTAGTCGACGCAGATCCAGCTCCACGTGGGGGGTCATCTCCCCTTCCAGGTTTACACAAACTTCGAACACAAAGCGACTAACGCGCGGCCATATAAGGCTCATTTTTGGGTCTTCTGGGAACAACATTTAATTGTCAGGTGTTTCAAGTCATCAAGTACATGGTTATCAAAGAAAAAAGAGAGGGAGTTAGACAACCGAGAAAAATACTTGTTCCCTTTACATCGCCAACGCCAGAATCCGCTACACTTCTGTAAAAAAAAAAAAGAAAAAGGAAAAATCAACTCTCTTAGATCTTAGTGGTGCTTTGAAGCATTGGTATACTTGTCACTTTTTATGAGATCAGATGAGTACAGGAACAAGGAGTGTTGAATACCAGTCATTATGATGCCATCCCGCCATGACAGCTAGGGCTAACGATTTCAACTCTACGAATCACTTATTCCAAGAAGTATTCTAGTAGAAATTACTGGCGCCCTACGGGATTCTCGGTTAGGAAACTCCGTTCTATTCAATAAACCTTCAACCTTTAACCTATCTTTGAGCCCTGCCCGTCTTAGTAGTATCCACGATTGTGGAGTTAGCCAGCCTGCGATAGCATAGATAGCTGAGGTATTTAAGCTATCAGGCGAATGCCCGGAAAGGACAATGTCGAGAACACAGCATGTTGGTCATAATCCTTTTGGTATCTTACACATTTAGACCTTCTAATCGTTCCAGCTAAGCATTTGTTTTACGCTGAAGTGAACATATTGGAAGACACGATGCAACCGGCAACACTTCGACGACATGGCCAGCGAGGGACATACGATTTGGAATCGGTCAAGGACGTTTTCGATAATTGCTTCATCGCTCACGTGTCTTACGTAGTAGATGGTTTACCCGCCTGCATGCCTATGATCGCGTTGATAATGGATGACCCGGAAGCCGGCACGACGCGGTGTTCCGGCCTGGGGCAAGAGCATGGCAACGGCGCCAATGGGGGCCTCGTGAATGGCGTCCAAAAAGATGCTCATGAAACTTTTGTTTACTTGCATGGACATCCAAGTGCGAAGCTCATGGAGATGGTTAGGAGGGCCAACAACAGCCCAAGTGAGGATGTTGAGAGCACAACTGAGACCAACGGCCAGATTGTGAATAACTCTGTAGGGGAAGTAAAGGTTTGCATCACTGCTACTAAAGGTGAGATCTGGATCAATTACCTTAAACCTATCACCAATATTGTGCCAAATCTGTATGATGGCTAACTTACTCACAAAGTCGATGGACTGGTTTTGTCCTCAGCGCCTAACGGGCATACATTCAATTATCGATCAGCCACGATTCACGGAACATGCGAACCTGTGAGCTCTAAAAGTACGAAGCTTGCGGTCATGCGCGCAGTCACACAGAAGATTGTCGCCAATCGATGGGAGGAGGTGAACCCGGTAGCGTCGATGCAGGTCAGCTTGGTCTATGTTATCAAGGTGCACATTGATGCTCTTTCTGTCAAGTCACGATCAGGAATCCCAGGGATCCAGCCCAGGAACAAGGAAAAGGATGGGCCAGACGTCCAAACCCCGCCGTGGACTGGGGTTATTCCATTATGGGAGGAATTGGGAGCTCCAGTAGACAGTGGACTGACCCCAAATGTTGTGGTATCTGATAACCTTAAGGCATACATCGAGAGCCGGAACCAGAGGCAGCAAGCATATTCCAAGAGAGCTGCAAGTTCATGATAATAATTAGAATATTCTTTCTACAGGAGGTTGACATCTATCGTTTCGTTATCAGTGCCATATCGTGTATGCTTCAGGTCGACTCCTAGATAATGAGAATTCCGAGTCAATTATCAAGCATGTAAAGTCAGCACCGCCATTTGATATAATATATTACCATGGACAACTGCCTGCGTGTCTTCAGGGCTCGAAGAATTCGCTGTAGCGGGGCCCCTTATCAGCTCCATTGCTGACTCGCTTCCGGGAAATACAAATCCGGAAATTGTTGACTCTCTGTTATCAAAGTCTGCCGATCCTTCGTTGCCCCTCACTCAATCCACCGATATCTGATAGCGTGGAGAATACCCGAGGCTCTGGGTCCCCTTTCTGCACTGCATCAGTGGCTCTCGCTGCCATGTCGACTCGGTCGAGGAAAGGCTGCATTGACTGCAAGCAGGCCAAGATCAAATGTGATGAACAGCATCCTTTCTGTGGAACCTGTGCTCGGCGGCGCAGGCAATGCAGGGGCTATGGCGCGCTCAAGGCGCGATCTGCATCTCAACACCACCCCCACGGGGTATCTGCTGCTGGGGCACGTTCCCCGAGCTCTGTATCTTCGGAGTCTTTCTTACCCAATGACTACCCAGATGGCGGATCGGGGGTTCTTATGGCCGCTGATTATGCATCTGTGGTCAGCGAGTCGCCCTCATTGTCTGGCAGCAGCCAGAGTACACCGTTCACGGCAGGAATGATCGTGTCAAGCGCATTCAGTGGAGGCTCTGTCGATGGTTCGTCGTATTCACCATTACTGGGAATATCACATCCATCACTGGCACCGCCAAGAAGCCCGAGCTTCATCCCATTAAACGAGATTCAACCAGCGGACAAGCCATTGATTGAGATTTACTTTTTGAGACACCCTTCCGAGATGGTGATGAGCAACGACTCCTTCATTGACGAAATGAATTGCTCGGTGATCTCTCTCCTGCAGCAATGCCCCGTCGTTGTGAGCGATTCTTTATGTGCAATCGGCGAAAACTATATCAAAGAAACAGCAGATGCCTCTTTAGTATCAAGTCGTAAACTACGGCTTCTTAATCGTTTACGCTTAGTGAATGAAGATGGTCGTAACCCCGAATTGGTCTTATTGCTCTTACTCGCTCTATGCGGTGCGGAGGTATGTCACTTGTTCTCCTTGCACCTTTTATCGTTATGTAACAGGCTGTTGACTCCCGTGAACAGCTCACTAGCCCTCATTCTGACGGCAAAGGTGAAAAACTGGTTGCACTGATTGAGAATGTGGCCTTGGTTTTGGAATTCCACAGTCAACCAGGCAGAGAGCTCAACAGTGCAGCAAAGTACTTCACCCGAGGACTGGCCCGCCAAGATCTACTTCTCTCCCTTTCACGTATGCAACGCACCAGAATCAACACATCTATATGGCTCGATGATTACTCAAGGAGCCATGCAGACAGACTTCTAGGTTTAACTGCAACTTTGGCCCCGATACTAACACAGCTCGCCGCTCTGGCCGAGGATGTTCAATATGCGATCACAGACCATAGTGTTGGCGGCGACATGTATTGTCTACTGAATTTTGATCAGATATCTATAAAACGCTCGGATCTGGAAGAAAGGGCGGCCTCAATCCGAGCTCAACTACTTACTTGGCGTCCGATCCAGGACTCCTCCTTGACATTGCGAACATCTCGCACACTCTTGCTCCATGCAGCCGCGTGGAGGGCGGCGGCGCTCCTCTACCTATTTAGGCTTTTCAATCGGCCAGGAAGCTCGGCCAATGCAGATGGTATAGCTCTGAGCATGGCCTATGAGATCATGACCAATATCTCAGGAACGCCCGATGATATCAAGCTCAGCCTCTGGCCACTTTTTCTCGCAGCTTGTGAAGTAGAGCAGCCTGATGATAGGGATCTTGCAACGCAAATGTTCAATGACATTTGCTCTTCCCGGCCTATTTTGACAGCAAAGAGGACCAAATCATTTTGCGTGGACCAAATATGGCCAGCGAGGGATCGAGGGGAGAACTGGGACTGGATGCAGCTGGTACGGTTCGAAGATAATGTATTTACTCCACTCTGAAAGTGATGATACAAATATATTCTCAGTTGCATATGTGCTCCATCAATTTCAAGCCCCATTTGATAGCTTGCCCTGGTCAATCTGCCATTGTTGAACCTGAAGCAATCTGTAAACCATATCTAGGTTTGGGGCTTCCACCCCAACCTCTCTTGCAATCTTGAGCGGATTGCCTAGGATTACTTCTAGTTCCATAGGCCGCCCTTCTTCCAAGTCTACAAGCATACTTGGCTTGTAGTCGCAGTCGTTTGGAAGCCTATAAGCCATCCAGTCGACAACAGACTCTGGTAACTCATGTCCGGTGGCCTTTGCAGTCCGCCATATCTCCCACATCATTGGGACGAGCATGGTCTCTCTTCCTCCACTTCTTTGAAGCTCGCCGACATTGATCCTGGATAACGCACACACCGTGTTGAAGGTTCCATTCCATAGGAGCTTCTCCCACCTAGCCTTCTGAATATCATCCACGAGCTCGCAAACGCTGGCCCCGCCAGCACAGTACATCCCCACAAATGCTTTTGCTCTCCTCGTGCTTTCAGAGTCGTCGAGGCCAGCATGACAGTGAGGGCCCATTTTCGACACATCTCGACCAACTTGTGTCACAATATTTGGCTCTGTGATCGCGCTTCCGATATGACTAACACTGCTCATAACAGCATTAGTTGGCCATTTCTTGATAACGTCCCGTTCGATGCCGATCCCGTTCTGTATCATGACTATGGTGGTTGTGCCAGCGGTTACCACCGGAGACAGCATATCGACGACCGGGTTTCGCTCCGGCAGCTGCTTTGTGCACACAACAACATAATCATATATTACAGGTTGCCCTTCACCATCCTTTGCTGCGTCAAGGGCCGATGACACAATGCGGTGCGGCTTCCACCTGGGTAATTGGCCATGATCAACTGAATCGACTTCCCATCCGTGTTGGGAGACGTAGGCAAACTTCGACCGGAGGACGACGGTCACATTTGCCAGGTTGGATTTGGTGAGAACAACGGAGGCGATTGTACCCACGCCTCCCGATCCAATGAGACAGATCTGGTAGAGTGGCTTGGTTTGGCTCGGCATGTTGATTTTGAGAAGATTAACACTTCCGTATCTTAACTTGCTGTGTTTTGATCTCGTCGGGAAGGACACTTTCTGAATTTTAGCATCCGAGAATACGAATGCGTGTCTCTGACGACCTTTCCATGCTATCCCTGGTCCATATCCCTGGTTGTGCGGTTTAATGAACACATCCACATTGCTCCGTCAGCACATGCCGGATGTATAGCTATCGGCTAGGTCGATCATCCACTTGATTGGACCTTAGATAGCATAGATAGGAACGCAGTATGGGTGGGATCTTTCAAGTCATATGACTTTGTATGTGGGGACATATTTGCAGCTATCTTTTATATCCGGAGCGTACGGTAGTATTTTGAAGGGCGGGGTATCAACCGGGGCCATGATTCAAGAAAATGAAGCTTGTCTACGCAATGAAAAGTGATTGGTTTCAGCCTAGAACGAATTGAATTCAGATACTACAATCCTCCATGGCTAAGATACTACTTGGATGGTAACATAAATCGATCTAATTCACCAAGCTGCTTGCGGTTTAAGCTATCGTAGAGTCCTCTACACACCCCTGAAGATCTTGTCCAAGGTCTCAGCGTGTTCCAGCAAAGCAGAATCTTGAAGCCTTGGAGCGACGATTTGAATGGATACTGGAGAGCCTGCCATGACTTGCGGGTCGTCTAAGAATCAAGTTAGCAATAACGAAGAAGGGAGAGAGGAATAATGTAGCCATACACAAAGCTTGGATATCACGGTCCATGACACTTATGGCCTTGAAGTCCTCATCTTTGGGATCCATGATAGGATCCACCTTGGAGAATGGCATGATAACAGCCGGATACTAGAAACGAGCGTCAGCGTTACCGAGTCTTCGTGAAATTGCAGTTCAACTTCAACTCACATCCATGGCGTTCCAGACTACTGTGTACAACTCCGATGTACACTTATCCTTCGTAATAGCTGTATGAGGGGAGGCTGGGGTAATGAGCAAGTCAATCCCAGCTTCCTGCCAAGCATCCAGCATCTTCTTCTGCATCGCTCCCTTCTTAGTGTTCCATTCCCAAACCTCTTCGTGTGTTTTTCTGGGGAGGTCCCAGTATCCAAAGTTTGCCACGGACGGAACCACTGGCTCAGCTACCTTGGAAAGTTCTCTTCTCTGGTATGAAAGACCATCCAAGGTGAACAACTGGCTACATATCTCACGGATTTCTGCGAAGTCAGGGCAGATGGGAGTAAAGTCTTTGACCTCATATCCGGCAGCCGTGAGCTTTTCCTGTGCCTCGCGAGTTGCTCTACGCATGGGAGGGTGAGGAGTGACTCCAGATGCGTGGAGAATACCAATGACTGGTTTCTTTGAAGATGATGGAGGCTGTTGCTCCATTGCCCCAGCAATAACGGCAGGATCAAACTTCCAAGGCTCATAAGAGCGGACCGCCTTTGTGAAAAGAGTCATATCACGCATCGAATGGGCCAGTGGCCCCAAGACGGCGGGTATTCCTGTGTTGACGCCGGTCCAGCCAGAGGCAGCGTAGCCGATAAAGGGAAGAATTCCGACCGAGGGCTTGTAACCATACACACCATTGAAGGCAGCAGGAAGGCTGTTGGTAGACAAGTTAATTTTGAGTACATCTATTAGGCTTTTTGTGTGGTTACATACCGGATCGATCCACCTACATCGGTACCAATGCCCAACACATTGCCTCGGAAAGCTGACAGAGACCCTTCACCACCGCTACTGCCACCGCAGGACAGGTGATTAACGACTGGGTTACCCGTATGCCCAAAGACGTTGTTATCGCACTCGGCAACTAGCATGGTCTGTGGAACATTGGTCTTCGCTATGACAACTGCCCCAGCCTCCTCCA